GGGGGCAGAGATGAGATAATAGCCCTTCACGTGAACTCAAGAGTTGCTATGTTCTGATCAGGATGTAACGCACACATTAATTTCGGTTTCCCCCATCATCAGGTTCCACATCTAACTGCCTAGTAGACAGTTAGATGATAATGAGGAAAAAAAAAATCAGTCATTTGCCCCATCCATTATGGCAGGGGACCTGGGATATTTGAATGTCTAAGGGGTCAGAGTGAATCTAAGTGTAACAGGTCTTTGGCACAATACCATCTTTGCAAAGAGGACAGGCGACGAATCCCATCAGCAGAGTCCCATCCCGAGCCCCTGAATAGGGTCCAGTCAAATAGAACCTTTAAGATACACTGTCCTTAGCTGGGCGTTGGTGGCGCGGGCCTTTAATCCCAGCACTCTGGAGGCAGAGGCAGGTGGATCTCTGTGAGTTTGAGACCAGCCTGGTTTACAAGAGCTAGTTCCAGGACAGCCCCCAAACCCACAGGGAAACCCTGTCTGGAACACCCCCCCCAAAGGGGCGGGGCTGGGTCCTAATTGGTCAAGCCTTTAATCCCAATACTCAGAGGCAGGTGGATCTCTGTGAGTTCTGGTCTACAGAGCAACAGCCAAGACTATAGAGAAAATTAGGTTCCAGAAAGAAAAAGGAGAAAAAGAAAAAATTTTCAAACCCCAACATTAAACACATTCAGTTTAGCCAGAAATATTGTCTCATGTTGGAAATTCTAGCTTTAGAAGTCTGAGACAAGAAGATTTGGAGTTTGAAATAAGTGTGGGCAACACAGCAACTTCCATGCCACCCTGTGTTATGTGGCGAAATCCTGTCTTAAAGAAAAGAAACATTTTAAAATAGGAAAAAGAAAAGAAAAAGAATAAAAGGACTGAAGAACTGGTTCAGCAGTTAAGGGCACCCAATTCTAAATAACATTATTAACAAGGTGGTAATGGTGCAAACTTTTAGTCCCAGTACTTTCCAGACAGAGCCAGGTGGCCCTGAGGCCAGCCTGGTCTACAAAGATAAACTGTTTCAAGCCCCACCCCCACGTGGCAAAGAAACATTTTCATTCCAGTAAAAATATATACTGGTTTTGTTGTTTATGCCAATCTCTACTATTTTTCAACAGACACCAATTATAGATGGCTAGTAATCAAGAATTCAGTCCTTCCTGGGACAAAAGAAATTAGGCAACCCACAGACACTTAATTTAAAAAAATAAGTGCCCCCCCCCAAAAAAAATAAAAGGATCACAATCTGCTGCATGAGTCCCCAAAGAAACACATGCTGCATTTACTGAACAGGTAACAGGTGACAGACATGCATAGATTAACAAAATGGAATTAAATGACCTCCCACAGCCTAACAAGGATGGAACTTAGGGAACAATTAGTTCTGCATGCAGTCTGCTTCGCACACACCCTACCCATTTATGAGCAATCTATAACATCAACACTAAAATTGTTTCTTTATGGTTTTAAGACAGGGTCCCAGCACTGGGGAGACAGAGGAGGACAGATCTCTGTGACATCTAGGGCTGGCAAAAAAAAAGACAGGGTCTCAAGTAACCCAGGCTAACCTCAAACTTACTATGTAGCTGAGGCTGGCCCTGAATGCCTAACCCTTCTGCTTTCACCTCCAAACTGCTAGAATTACAGGTGCATACCAAGACAACCCAATAACATTCTCAGTTAACAATTTAATGCCTGAAAAGGACACACATAAAAGGCCATAGAGGAATTAAAAGTCAGTGACAGTCTATACTTGGGAGCTATAATAGGTTGTGGGTGGATAGAAGAAAAAGGTAGTTTAATGTACCTACAAACAACAAGCCCTACTTGATCTGTCTAGGACTCATGAAATGAGCTGCACTCATTTCACAGAGCCTACCCACTTTGCTGACTCTGTGGTCAATTTCTAGTAAGCACTTCTCGTTTGATGAATAATGTTCATGCCCTTTCTGCATGCCCACAGGAAACGGAAACCTCAAGGTGGTCAGTAAAACCAGCGAGCCAGGCAATAGGCAATGTCTAGCTATCAGTGCCAGAATTTCCAATGGACACAACAGGACAGCCAATGAGATCAGAATCTGCCACAATTCGGCATGCTGGAGGGCTGAAACTTTATTTGCAAACACAAAGCTATGATTATTTAAGTCCTTTAACATTAAACATACAGAACAATTCTATAGACCAGTGGTTTTACTGCTTAAGTATTTCCTCTACAAATTAAAGGCTTGCTAACATTTATAGTATTGCTGTATAGCACTTGAAATCATAAACCTGTAAGCAATTTTCTAGGCTAATGCTAGCCTTGGACTTCTCGTGAGACTTTAGGCTTTTAAATTAACTCTTCCAAATACCATGAACAAAGCTACAAACAGATTCCGAGATAACAGCCAAATCCGGTTTACTGGTGAACTCTCAGCATACAATTTATATCAGCATGCAATCTATATAGATGCTAATTCCTTAAAATCTAAGGCAGCCAAAACTAAAGATGACACAGTGAGTACTTCATATTGAGCAATTAGAGTTTAGCTATAAGGTCTCCATGCATTAAGGATCCCCCTTCCCCCACTTTTGGGGGAAAAATAAGATTTTACAATAGTATTTTCTGGATGTTTAAAAAAACAAAACAATGAATCATAGCTGTCAACTTCTCTATTATGGAGCTGAAGTCCACCGGGTGCATCGCCACAGATGCAGGTGAAAAGGAGCTGGCCAGGAGAAGGAATTACTTAACACTATGCATATAAACTTTTTCTTCTGTTGACTTGCAAGAAACTGAGTTTAAAGGATGCTAACTAATGTGGGCATGGAGGGAGGGAGGGAGGAGGGAGAAGGAGACTTTTGGTTGAGTGAAAAATACATGTATCCACTGACAACCTGGGAGAATCCACATCCACTGTCCTGCAAATTCACCCTCAGGTGACAGAAAAAATACTATATGAAATGGAAAAGGATAATATCATTTAATCAACAGCTGATTACCTTTGAAACTTTGGGCTTCGTTTCCCTCTGGGGCCTCTTGTTTTCTTTTGTAACCTAAAATTTAAAAAAGTAAAATTGAGATGAGCCTCCATTAAAATGTGATATATATGATACTTATATATACATATATATCAGCTCCCACCCTTCCACCCCCCCAATTTTTTTTTTGCTACTTCTCTGTAAAAACTACTTCTGCCATTTAATGCCATCAACATATTAGTCAGTCAGTCCCTGAATAGCTCATGTAAAATGTATACTTTAAAAGTCACTGGAAAAAAAAAAAAAACAACAACCTTGCATAAATAAAGATGGAGGGAAATGTCTCTTTTCCCCCTAAAAGTCTTTCTTAATTAGCCTCTGCATTCTTCACGGCGAAGCCCACGAGGTAGCCATCTTGCCTGCTTCTGCAGAGGAAGCCTCCACAGAGAGCAGTTCTGCAAACTGCTTTTGGTATCATTATCATGGTGTTTAAAGGCAGCCCTGGCCTGCCAGCACTGTAGACGTGCTGGGCATGCCTTTTGCAAAAACAGCCCCACAAAGAGTGCAGCCAATGGCAAGGCAGAGCTTAGAGACTCCAAAGTGATCTTCGCAGCCTAGCGCTATCCCAGACAAAGGATCTCCTGTGAGGCTGGGCTCTCACCACAGGACACAGGCAGCCACAAGCTGCGACATGGAGTTCTCTGCAGAGGATCTGGTCGCCGCCACCGAAATCACAGGAGGCTTCTGCAAGAGACAACGTTCGCAAATCCCCCAGGTCGCTACCATCAGATCGATGGCGGAGTCTCCCTGAGCAGGAACCTCTGGGTGGCACCAGGGCAAGTTGGCGCAGGGAGGGGCGCGCTACTCTGTACCACCCGGCAGGAGATAGCCCTGAGCCTAAGGGGGCATCGGGGCTCACAGCAACCCTGAAAGGTATTGTGCATTTTGACTTTATAAGGAAAGACTAAATATTGGCGATATTGAAGGCAGGGAGGTTAAGTGAGGACAGCGCAGGCTCAGCTGTTGGGCTGTGTGTCTCATTCCTGGGAACCACACCTCGGCGCAGCCGGCGGCGCTTGGCAGAGAAACAACGATTTGATTTCTGTCAATAAATGTCCAACAACAAAGTTGGACAAAATCTATATAATCAGCCACTTAGAAGAGAAACAGGGCAGGATGTGCACATAAAGGGGGTGGCGTTTTCAAGATACACTTGCCACTCTCTCGGTGACTACACAGATGGAAAACTGTAAGCTGGTGACCTTCAGTGGCCAAAGAAATTCGCGGCAGACTCCAACCGGAACCTTTGGGGGAAAGGGGCATTTCTGGCTCTTCTCCTAAGATCAATTGCAACAAAGCCTCTCTCTCTCTCCAGAGCCGCCAACTAGGCTCCCAGGTGGAGCCTGCCTGCACACCATCTTAGGAGTCAACCACCCACTTCCCCAGACGCTGAACCTGAGCCAGGGGTGACCATGCTACCAATACCCTCAATGTATGCACGTATGCACCTATGCACGTATGCATGCGCACACACCTGGACTGCACCCATCTCAGGGGGTGGTGGCCATTAGACTCTGGCAGCACATGACACCTGTCAGACACCAGGAAAGGCAGGACCCAGAGCAGTCTCCCTCCTGTTAGCTTCCTTGCGCTTCTTATAACAGCCGAAAAGACTCTAGTGGCAGAGGACCAGAGTGGCTGTTTCAAGTAGGGCTAGTCCCAAGGTCACTGCCAAAAAGCTGTACAGGGACAGATCACAGTCCCATCCCAGCCACCTTGACAGCTGCACAGATCTTGGGAAGCAAGCCCAAGTTCCTGCCTCCTGGGGCTAAAGTTTCTGCAGTACATTTGCAGTATTGGCAGGATGGCTTGCCTGGCTGTGAGGCCAAAAATGGGTTTTCCACTTGCAGTTGGATTCAGAACAGATTCCCACAACCAGAAATTCAGAAGTGAGTGAGGGCCGGAAGGCCTGTGTTTCATCACCCTCCCCTCTGAGGCTCTGAGGCTGCCATGAAAGCTCACGTTCCTTGCACAGCATGTGTTGCTTTCTTATTTATTTATTTATTTATTTATTTATTTATGCTATGGCTTGAGCCCAGGGCCTCCTGCATGTTAAAGCAAATGCTCTATTAATGAGCTACATACTCCCCTGTTCACAGATTTCCAACTTAACATGCCCCTGGAAGTGACCTGCCATCCACAAATTTTGACTAATTCACACATGAGTAGGAAAAAAAAAAGTCTACCGAAACTAAACATGGTGACAACACTTTTGACTAACTACCACTCTGGAGGCTGAGGCAGGAGCTTCAACTAGAATGAGACCCTGTCTTCAAATAATCATACAACAAGAACATGCCCGTGCCTGCACTGGAAGCATCCTGGGGAAACTGAGACAGGAGCACTACAATGAGTTCAAGGTCAACCTAGGACACATAGCAAATACCAGGCCAGCCATAGTTGTATATAACAAGATTCTATCTGAAAGAATGGAAGGAAGAAAGGAAGGAAGGAAGGGAGGGAGGGAGGGAGAGAGAGAGAGAGAGAGAGAGAGAGAGAGAGAAGCACACAGAAGCAAGAAGAAAGGTGCACACCCTAACCACGGTGTTCAGTTTTTTATTAAACCAAAATCAAGGGATTCTAACCTAACCATAACACCAGTGCAAACACAGCAAGCATATACTAAGAACCTCTGGGGAAATGGATGCATTGACTGACACACGCCTATAATCAATCCCAGTGCTGGGGGAGGCAGAGGCAGGCAGATCTGAGTTCAAGGGCAACCTGGCTAACAGTGTGAGTTCCAGGACAGCCAAGGCTACCCAGAGAAACCTTGTCTGGGGAGTTGGGGTTGGTGCTCTGTGAGGAGTCAAAGCAACCATGAAGCAGGTGAAAATGTATGGCCAGGTCGGGAGAACTCATGGACAACACATATTCATCATTTAGCTGAAGTTGTGAAAAGTTCAACCTTGAAGGACATCAGTTTCTTTGTCCTTTATATTATTTTTGAGACAGGGTTTCTCTGTATGGCTTTGGAGCCTGTCCTGGAACTCTATAGACCAGGCTGGCCTCGAACTCACAGAGATCTGCCTGCCTCTGCCCACTGAGTGCTGGGATTAAAGGCATGCACCACTAATACCAGGCCTTCTTTACATTATTAAGCATTTATTTGCATGCATATGTTTGTATGGGCAAACATTCCATAACATGGAGTTCAAAGGGCTAGTTTTAAGTCAGGCTTGAACGCTTTTCTTTACTCTCTGAACCACCTCAAGGGTCCTATGTTTTGTCTTTTTTTTGTTTACAAGTTACTACCAGAGCATTCTGCCATCAGCCATGCGGAAGGCCATAAACCAATCACTCAGGGCAGGCCATGCTTTACTAGATAGAGCGCCTTGCCTTTCTCCCAGGGGTTACTGTAAAAAGCAGTATCTTTCCCATTGATTCCTAAATATTAAGTAAGTCACCATGACACTATATACCATGACATATATATATATATGTATGTATGTATATATAATGAATGTATTAACTGTGATACCCACAAAATAGTTCATGCTTAGTAAGTAGGTATGCTACATGAGATTCTTGAGAACACACACAACACTGCACTTGGTGACTTGAGGGACTGTAGAAACATGCACTGTTCTGAAAAGTTAGTTAATAAATAAAAGTATGGAAGTGCCCAGAGCCACACTGACTGACTCCCAGTATTATCAAACCTCTAGGGTAGGATGAGGGTGTTGTTCTGAGCTTAGATAACAGTGAGTTGTTTTTTTTTTTTTTTTTTTAAATGATTGTTTTTTGGTTTCTCAAGACAGGGTTTCTCTGTGTGACAGTCCTGGCTGTCCTGGAACTCATTCTGTAGACCAGGCTGGCCTCTGCCTCCCAAATGCTGGAATTAAAAAAGCACGAGTGACCAGCACCCAGCTAACACAAGTTTATCTTGGATTCTACATTAATGCCTTTGCACATCCCCATATATATATACATTACATATGTAACAAATGAATATTAAATCATGACTCCAGAGAACCACCCCCATCATTATTTAGAGTCAACTTGTAAGGCAAATGAGAACCTAAAAATTAAGTGTTTGAGTCCTACATTTGCTTTGGGAGCCTGGTATGGTGGTATCCATTTTGTGCTGGGCCAACTGTGTTAGCTCACACCTTTAATCTCATGACTTGAGATAGCAAGTTCCAGGCCAGACATAGCTGCATGGAGTCACCTTTGTCTCAATATGCCCCCAAACCTCCAGAAAAGAATTGTTTCTCAGGGGAAGAAACAAATGTGGAAGAAACAGAAATAAGCTCAGAATGGTTGGCTTAGTCCTGTATTTTCAACATTTAGGAGTTTAGAGGCTTGCAAATTTGAGGCCATCCTTTGTTACATAGTGAATGGAGGGGCTGACCTAAGCTGAAAGAGACCTTGTTTCTAAAGAACACCTATATATATTTATAGTGGAACCCCAAAACTCTTACCCCAGGTCTAGAAATGTTATATGGTTGGATTTCAACCACTGAAAGTTTAATGTCATCCAGGTACTTACTAAGATATATGAATAGGAGCCGGAGAGACAGCTTGCTGCTCTTGGACCTGAGTTTGGTTCCTTGGCATCTACTTCAGACTGCTCTCAACCACCTGCCTGTTACTCAGCTCCAGGGCATCTGATGCCCCCTCCTCTTCTGGCCTCCAGGCACCCAAACACAGGTGGCATACACTGAGTCAGACACACACACACACACACACACAGTAGTAATATATATTGAAATAAAATAATTCAAAGCACTCATGAACTTGATTGGCCAACCTGGGCTACATAGCTAAACTTTGACATTCTTACTCCACAAAATAAATAAATAAATAAATGCCCCCCCCCCAATGCTTGCTCCATTTCTGGACATGGAAGGGTGATCGTTTAAGACTTTGCAATGCAAAGCCTTCAGGGATAGCTTGTAGGTGTCAGGAGCAGAAAGGCTTGCCTGAACAAGAAAATAAACCAGAGCTGTTTGCCACAGGCCACCTTAAAAGATAATTGGTATCTTAGTAGACAGAGCATTGGAGTACATCCA